TAGTAGAGACGGGGTTTCACCGTGTTAGCCAGGATGGTCTCGATCTCCTGACCTCGTGATCCGCCCGTCTCGGCCTCCCAAAGTGCTGGGATTACAGGCTTGAGCCACCGCGCTCGGCCGGAACCATTTCAGAAGTAGACCTTGCCTGCATTCATAACATGACTATTGCTGTAGTTAATTTTCCCCATTTGCCTACTCCAAGTTACACTTAGCCAATGGCACAGCTTAAAATCGGAACACCAAACCATTCTTTCAACCCCTTACCTTCTGGCAAGTAAATGCCAGAAGGCCTCCAGCTATTCTTTGTGAATTGCAAAATGAACCAGTGTCTGCCCCTTTACCCTTCCAGAGTCGTGGAGTCTAGGTCTATGCCCAAGAGAGATGCATGAAATGTTTTACTGGTTTCTGCAAATAAGCCAGACCAAGGGAGAAAGAGACCTTCAGCAAGTGATAACCAAATGCAAGTTCTGAGAATGTGGAGAAAGAGGAGGTAAGGTTAATCAACACCCCTATACATCTTTTCAGTGTCTCTTGCTGAATTACCCAGCCCTGAGCTAATACCTTGCTGAATCACCCAGTTCTGATGCAGGTTTATGCTGTGTCCTGAATTGGTCTCTAGTGTCCCCTTCAGCTTCTGCCCCTGCAAACTGGGCAGTGCATCCAAGGTCTCCTGCTAACATCTGTCACTCATCGGCGCCACCTGATCTGAAGCGTTGTCAGGGTCAGTATTTTTGTTCTGCCTGCTCTGTTTTGCTAATGGATCAATGGCAGTCAGTAAAGAACAAACCGTGCCAGAAAAGAATGTCCTCTTCTTCTCAGCTGACTCAGCTCGGGACAGGAAGATGGGGGACATCTGGCATTTGGGGAAGCCCTTGATTGTCCCTTAGGAAATAACTGAAAATGGATTTGTGTTGGCCTGGTTCTAAGAAGGTCACCCAGGTTGAATTTGAAAAGCAGAGGCACTGTGTCCACAAAAGAAAGTGATAAGCAGCAAGCCATTTCTCAGAGCTAATGTGCCCGAGTGTGCACCACCGGGATCCGTTTTATATCTCTCTACAGATTGGTGTGTTTTTCATGACAGCCATCCCCATAGCAACCAGGTGTCCAGGCACTAAATGGATCTCAAGGATATGAAATCTCGGCCTGGTGAGGGAAGCCCACTCTGACTGCAGTTTCCTTGGAGTCAGTCGTTTCACGTCGAGGGCTGGTGTGCAGGTCAGGGGGCATGGGGCTTCTTCCTTGAGGGCCCAGCTGGACGCAAGCGACAGCCCTGGTGAGAGGGGAGCCTTTTCTTTTTCATGTTTACTAATAATCCAGAAGAAAGGGTAAGAAGCTGGTAAATCACATTCAAATGGAACCAAATGGGAAGATGTTGCTAACGCCAGTTGGATGGAAGAAACTACGTGGACAGCCACGGAAGAAATGACCACGTGAGACGTACCCTGGAAAGGCCAGAATTGGAACCTCTGGGAGCCAGTATTCCAAAGCAAGAAGCTAGAAGAGATTTACCAAGCAGAATTATTTGAGGAGATTGGGGAGAGGGGGAGATGACGACTAAGCTGGAAAAAAGGGACATAACAGGGTGCACAGAGCTGAGGGCTGTGCAGGGAAGGAGCAGTGTAGCTCCAGCTGGGCGAAAGCTTAGGTCCTGGTCAGGGAATCGAGGTGCTCCTGTGGGTTGTCCAGGTGAGCCCAGAGAGTTCACCCAGGGAAGAATATCGAGGGCATGGAGGGTCATAGGAGGGAGTGAGGGAGAGCCCATAAACAGCATCCTCTTAAGGTAGCTCATGCTCACCCAGAGGCAGCTACCTGTCATTAGGCTCTCCCTAAGGTCAGCCTTGCTAATGCTGAGGCCCTGCCTTCCACAGTTACCCTGTCCAGGGGCTTTGGTGATGGTCCTCCTCGCCTCAACAGGGACGGACAAGGGCTCCTTTTGCTTTGAAGTGATACCCATGTACTTACTGCACAAGGAGGATGGGGAAGAGCCAGGAAGGGAAGCACTGCCACACCAGCAGGGGCAATGTGACAACACGGAACAAAGGAACATGTCGCTAGAATCGCAGGAAGAAGTTTCTTGAGTGACAACTAAATAGGCTGCAAATGGCCTTTTGGAGGGAGCTGCCATCTCTGTGATAATCTAATCCAGAACCAGACAAGATGGGGTGGACCGCATCTCGGGAGGAGCACATGGGTGTGAGGGAGGAGGGACGTGGCAACCTCATGCTCCCTTCTCTCTGTAATCACTCTGTCAACTCACGATTCTGGGAGGGGAGTTTAAAATGTGTGGTTTGTCTATTGCATGAAGATATTTGGATCCCCCAAATCTAGGTGTGTCTGGAAGAAAGCTGCTCTCTCCCAAAGGAAAGCTAGGGGTTAAATCCATAACTGTAGTGTGTCTGGCAACAAAATAAAAGGAAACCACATTCTCCATGAATGAAAGAAGAAGCAGGAAGAAGGTAGTTGTTTTTCTTTTTTAAAAACAAGAATAAGATCCTCCAATATGTTTGAGATTATTGAGCAAATTCTTTGAAAGGGGCCCTGGGTCACTAACCAACAGATCATGGATGTAGAAACCACATTCTTCCAGCTTCCGTTCCCATCCTGACCCCAGAGATAGCAGGTTGGGTGTCCTGGGGGTCTTTGTTTAGTTAACCATTAACAATTCATAAAAGTGCAGATCCCTGCACGATAAGCCCAGTCCTCGGAATGTTATTAGAAAATCCTATTTCTAGTCTGTTATGAAACAGAGGTTTTGATGTGCTGCCAGGTTTATGGGGAACTCTGAAAACAACACTTGCTGGTCTGAGAAGCTGAGGCTGGGTGGGTGTTACATAAAGCTTTCCTAGCAACTTAGCTTTATCACAGAATGGGAGGCTGCAGTGGAAAAAATCAGACGAGTTAATGCAAAACCTGAGCCAACCCACTATCCCCGTTTGCTCTAAGGCCAGCCAGTAAATCTGTGGGAGGGGTTTTAACCCACAGAGAGCGGCAGGCCCAGGGCTCCGGTTGACTGCAGATTCAGCCTAAGAATGCTGGGGCAGCTCAGAGCCGAAAGGCACCTTCAAGCAAACCTCACGGAAGGCAAAATAGCTCTGCTTGACTCTGAACCAACTGCTGATTAAAATTCACACAAACACATCTTCCTTTTCCTTCTTTGGGTCGTTCCCAGTTTCTCTGGGCACTGCAGGAACAAAGGGGAGTAAGGTCACATCGTCGAATCCCTGCCAAGGGAAATGCGTCTAATGAACGACGGTGTCTCTGAAGTCAATGGATAAGAATCTCATTTCTAAACTCTTGGATCCAAAAGTATGCCTCTTAGGATGGAATCCTTCTATGGTGTTGGTTGACAGCTTTTTGGGGTTTCTAAAAAGCATGTGTCCGGTCCATTGTTTTTAATCTCCCAGGGCCGGGGTGGGTGTGGAAGGAGCTGGAGGAAGAAACCATGCAAAAATCCATTTGGAAGCTGCAAATCAAAGCTAATAGCCTCTCCCGATCTGCTCACACACGGTGCCCAACCGGTGTTGTAGAGAGGAAGAGGAAAAGATTCCCCAGCCGTGGGGACAAGTGTAAGGCGAAGGGCTGGAATGGGGAGGGGAGCACCTGTCAAGAGGAGCTGGAACTCAAGTGGGGAGAGGAAAGGCAGTGGGAGAGAAGAGAGCTCCTTTGTGGGCAGCCCCTGCGACATCTGCCCCAGGGGCCTAACACCTCCCTCTGCCATGTCTCTGCACCCAGGCTCTATTGCTGCTTCCTCAACCATACTCTCATTCGGGAAGGGAAAGAATGGTTTTATAAAACCGGTGTCCACGTGAAGGCAGCCATCCAGTTGGTGGAGAACCTTTCCCCACATAAATTAGATTACTCCAAGTCTAGATTGTTCCTGGTCCCTAGTCCTTCTTGCTGAAGACAGTGCGAGGTGGGTGGCAAGGCCGAGGGCTGGAGGGAAAGAGTAAAAAGCTTCTTGTTTGCGTTAAAACAAATCCCAAGACACGCCAGTTGGTTCAGAAGGTGAACTCCTACTTCAGGTAGTCCTTGAGAGTCACCAGAGATCCAGGAGAGAAACTGCACTGAGATTCCATTAACTGTGAAAAAAATAAAATAAAATAAACGGGCAACACAAAAAGAAGGCAACCGGCCTGCCCAACGAGGGCCGCGGAGTCCAGCCAGAGTCCCTTGTACCAGTAGATCATATTGTGTCTATTTAATAATACGAAGAAGGGGTACCCTCCGCGGAGGCTTCACGCAAGGAGTCCTGTCCCACCCGCAGGCTGGGGCGCCCGCCTGCAGACCTCGGATGCTGGCCAGCGTCTTGTCATGCAAAGCCATCCACAGCCAGCATGGCCTTCATGAGCCCATTTCAATTGAAATGAGATCAATACTACTCATTTTTCTCTTGCTGGCTCCCGAGTGATTCATGAATCTGAAAACTAGTTCATGAATCAGAGCAGGGTGGGGGGGGGGGCTGGGGCGGGGGTAGGGGAACATTGTGCAGTCGGCAAACCTCGATTCCTTTCATGAACCCAGCCATGAGTTGCATAACGCTGGCCTGCCTGCTCGTTTAAAACAGTCTTTTCGGAAGCAGCTTTCAGCTTGACTTATTCACCTATTTTTCTCCTGGAAAGGGGAAGAATGACACTGGGTACCGATTGTGTGTCTGTCTCAGGGGATGTTTTTTTTTGCTCTCTGTGTGTGGAGCCGTAGGTGTTTCCCTGGACAAGAACGTGTGTCCGTGTGTGTGCGCATACATGTACAGTGGTCTTTGTGTGCACATCCTGTGTGTGTGTGTAGTGTGTGTGTGTATGAGTGAGCAACGTGTGACCGGCCTCGGGCCCTTTAAACCTGAACAGGAGCCAAGCTCATTTCTCAGCGGAGCTTCGTAAGGAAGCGCGAGCTGGGGCAGTTGGAAACCACATCCCTGTGAGTGCCGATTACAGCCTACTAAGGAAAATGAGATTTTTATCTCACAGGAATTCAGTTATAAAAATAAAATACAGCGTCTGGCTTGATTCAGCTAAATGTACAAGCACTAGGGTGTTTTTAATTTAACAGAGAAGCTGGACAAGAAGAATGACCTAAAACATTGCATTTAAAGAAAGTCAGAGGCGAGGGGGAGGCTACAGGAAGTGAGTGGGAGTAGAGATGTGTGTGTGTGAGAGAGAGAAATGGAGGGAGAGGGAGGGAGGAAGGGAGGAGGGAGGTGGAGAGAGAGAAAAAACCACCCTGCTGGCAAATGAATGCAGCAGGGATGATGTCATTGGAACAGTTGGAGGAGAGAGGAGAAAAACAAGTCGGAGCGCTGTGCTAATCCTGTTTGCTGCCCTGAAGGGAATGGAAGGCGGCCAAGGCAGGGAGTTCTGGGAAACCATATAAGGGTGCCAAACAAGCATTGCCGCCAACATTAGGAACTGACAGCTTTGTTCTTTGTAACTTGGCTGCCCGCCAGAGGCCTCATTTCAGCTCTGCGGCATGATTACCCTGGACGGCCGCCAGCCCCGCGCTGAGAGCTCCTTTTCTTCTCTCCGAGCTTTTTTTTTTTTTTTCCTCTTTCCCTCTGCCAAACATGCAGCAGTTACCATGGCAGTGGAAAGTAAAGTTTTAAAAAAACACAACAAAGTAGAGAGGCACGCCTTTATCCAGATGTGCCACATGAGTAGATAGAAAAGGCAGTTCACCTATTCATCGCGGCCTTTGACTGCAGAAGAAAACACTGGGGCACTGGCTGTCAAGTTCGGGAGGGAGGTGACTCCAGGATAAACAGAGCAGCCAGCAGCCCTGGCTGCAGACAGAGAGGGGCTGGCTCCCAGGCCTTATTTTCCTTCCCTCTCTCTCTCCCTTCCTGGGGCATTGTGGAGTGCGTAATGTGAAACGGAAAATGTCATGATTTCCACTGGGAATGTGTCCACGGTTTTGAGAAAGCTCCAGAAACTCAGGTCCATAAAGCACTGAGGGGAGGAGGAAGGGAGGGAGGAGAAGTGGGCGGTCACAGTGCCCTCTGGTCACCAAGGTGAACCCAGCGAGCAGGAGCCAGTCCGTGGCCGTGGCCCAAGCCTCTGCTCTCTGCTGGAGCGTGGCCAGGCCGTTGTCCTAGGGTTGCAGGCTGTTCAGGGGTCCTGGGTCCCATGGAGCCCTGGGACCTGAGGAACAGGGATGTTCCCTTTTCCCCCTTGGAGGTGCAACCAGTAGTTTGGCTTGACAGGGGGACTCTGTGAAGAGTCCAGTTCCTTATTTTTAATCTGGTTTGTTTTTCACCTGCTTAGAAAGTGGAACATCTCCTGAGAGGTGACAAGTCGTGATCAAAGGCAAGTCTCCAGGCAAAGACTTGGCAGGTTTCCGAAGCAAAGGTTACTTAGAAGTGGAGGTTCCACTGCCAGCTTCCCCCCGCTGCAAAACCTGACACTCCTCACCCTCAGGGTTCGGCAAGATTCTCGGAAAGGCGTCTTCTGATTCTAGGAGGTGCTGCAGCAGGAGCTGACTCGGCCATTTCCTGGCCTCTTTAGTTGGAAGATGACAGAAAGGCGGAAGCAGGGACTGCTATTGTGAGGCCCATGGCAGCCTCCCTGTAAAACAAATTGGCAAATTGTCACCTTCAGATGGACCACAGCTGGCCCTCTGAAGAGCCCTCCTTGGCCTTTCCAGAGTGTGCATGATTGTGCCCCATGGCCAGGGAGAGGACAGAGCCACCAGGAGGGTCAAGGTCGTGGAGGGAAACATGGGTGAGTAAGAGATGGACCCCAGAAATCCCTCCTCATGCTCCTCTTTACTATCACAGGCCTTGGCTGCCTTTCTCGGGAGGCGTTCCCAGCTCAGAGTTGGGGATGCACTAAGATAAAGCAAAGAGGGCCCTATTGGGGTAGGGGTGAGGGGACTTGGTTGACCTCCTTTGGGGATATAGCAAAGCAGACGCATTCCCGCCCTTGCTGGCTGGAATGCCCAGTCCTTCCCTGCCTCCCCAGGCCCCACACACCCTGGCTGACATCTGTGCCGAGGACACAGCCAAGGAGAGCTGGAAGGAGCAGAGGGGAGAATCGGGTACCAGTTCCATACAAACAGGACCCACAGGCTTGGGGTCCCCAGAGGATGGCAGAGCTAGGGGAGACTGGGAGCTGGAGGCCAGACAGGGGCACACTTTTGCCTCAGGTTGGGGAGACAGTACAAATAAAAACTTGTTGCTGTGCAGAACTGATCCAAAGACGAACTTGAGTTTCTTAAGAAGAGGCTCAGGTTTGGAAGTAGAACTTGACATGATGGTTGTCTCCTTTCCTTAACCTGCGACTCAAAACCAAGGGCAAGTGGATCTCTCACATCAGACAGAGGAGCAGCCTCCTAGAGTCTGCTAGAGCAGCTACCCAGAGTGAAAGAGGGCTACTGACTTTGGAGCTGATGCCCAGGTCAGGGCCTGGTCGAGCCACATCCCCGTCCTTCATTCCCAGCCGCTGATGACCTTCTAGAAGCAACACTGAGTTCGGCAGCTTGGTGTCCACTGGGGCACAGCATGTCTGAGCCTAACCCAACGGCCAGCCTCTCATTGGCTCAGCTTGTCTTCCCAGGTACTGCCTGGAAAACCAGCCTCTGGCAGGGATGTCCGGGCCTGCCCTTCCCACCTCGACCAGGGTGGAAATCCGATTCCCTGGGCCTTGTTTTCAGAGTTCCAGTGTTCTCTCTCATAGCCTGTAAGTGGAGAAGGGCAAGTTGAAGAAGGAACAGACTGTTTTCTCAGGGGGAAGCCGGGCAGCTTGTGTATGCCTCCCAGCATCGCGGCGTGGTAGATTCATCCGGCCCTGAGGACATGAATTTGGTTCCTCCAGGAGCTCCTCCAGCCTCAAGATCCACGAATTCGATGGAGTATGTATGAAACTGCAGAAAACCCATTACCCTCCCTTACACAGGAATGTTGCTCTCCTTTTAGGCTTGTCAGGCAGCTGAAGAGGAGGATCCTAGGAGACTTTTCTTTCCTGAGAAACCCAAAGAAAGCAACAGCAGATCTGTAGGGTGTGGGGGAAGGGGGCAGGGGAAATGTATTTTCAGTAACAGAGACCTAAAGCAAAAACTATTTGCAAACAGGTGACCTGCTCAAGTTCTCCTGTGATCTTTCATTTCTAGTGCTGGTTTTTCCCCCTCATTAAAAAACCCAATTTAATTTCTTGCTTCACCTGCATGGTAAAAATAATTACATACAGACATTAAGCCTGCACTAAAAATCAATGTACAGAGAGATGCCACCTTTGCTGTTAGTCATCACAGGGCTTGTTGGCTACAAATAGAAACCATTTAAAATACTTCTCTTTGTAGAAAGACAAGTGAAACTAGTCACTAGCCCTGTCGCTGGAGAGCAGCCTTTGTATGTTAGTGAGAGTCAAGGGTCAGAAAGGAAGATGAGGCTCTAACAGGGATTTCATGGTGTCCGGGGCGCTGTTTTCTTATTGGTGAAAGATACAAGGGCTGATCACCATCATAGAATACTAACTTCAGATGCGGGGCCTCCACACCACTGCTGCTGCCTTAATGGACATAAGCATGCTTCCTTCTTGTTTATTTCCTGGAGCTCCAGCCTGAACCACAGGGGGTATAAGGAGAACACTGTAAGGCAGTGCTGTTCTCAGGCCCCCGCCCTCCCATCTGCACAGCCATCTCATCGCAGTCTCCTGCAGACAGTGTGCTTGGACTCCCGGGGCTGCTGGGGCTCAGGACAGGCTGTTTGCATGAAGAGGGTCTTTACAGCTGCACCCAGAGGAGTTTGGAGAGTTTGAGGATTGCTGCAGGAGATGGGAAGCTCTTGCCATATGAGGACCCAAATAAGTATTTAGGAGCCCACAAAATCAGCTGGGCCCTAATGTGCTCTCCAGCTGTTTCCAAGAGAGGGGATTTGAAAAACTGTCACCGAGGAAACTGGTTGTGAGGATTTTTAGGAGACTTGAGAGTCTGGCTAACGTTTGAATGTGTGTGATATGACACGCTGTATCACACATCTTCCTGGTGCAAGGCAGGTCAGCGGCTGCACACATCAGTGCGTCTTTGGGTCGTCCTATTTAAATGTACTCCGGCCAGGCACGGTGGCTCACGCCTGTAATCCCAGCACTTTAGGAGGCCGAGACGGGCGGATCACGAGGTCAGGAGATTGAGACCAGCCTGGCCAACATGGTGAAACCCCATCTCTACTAAAAATACAAAAATTAGCTGGTCGTGGTGGTGCGTGCCTATAATCCCAGCTACTCGGGAGGCTGAGGCAGGAGAATTGCTTGAACCAAGGAGTCAGAGGTTGCAGTGAGCCGAGATTGCACCACTGTCCTGGAGACAGAGCGAGACTCTGTCTCAAAAAAAAAAAAAAAATATATATTCCACCTGGGCGTCTCTAGGATCAGTCAACAGGTTCATTGTTTTTATCTCTACAGCTTGCTTTCCATTGCAGCAAGGCCTCCCACTGCAAGACAGAGAGGAAGAGCTCTGCCACCCATGTGCGTAAGGCCATGTGGATACCTCATGACATTCTGGAAGGCCACAGGGCTGTGGCAGCCATTCAACTTAGGTTGACATGGCCAAGACCACAGAGCCAATGAGTGGCGGTGTTGAGCCTAGACCCTAAGTCTCTAGATTCCTCCTGCAGGGCCCTGGGTGTTGCGGGGGCATCTCTGAGGTGGGTCAGAGTGAACCTGCAGGGGCCACTTAAAACCCTTGCAGGCCCTGGCTCCTTCACCAGAGAAGCCCAACCCAGAATCCCAGTAGAAACATCTCATGTGACTGCAAGCCAGGCACTGGTTCTTAGGTTGCTTCCTGGTCCTTCTGTATGTATTGCTAAGAGCAGCAGTGTTCTTTCTTGCCACAGAGTGAGTCCTGGTGCGTAAATCTGTGCTGATGTCACCCAGTGCCTTCACCTGCCTGTCGGTGAAAATTCTGGGACAAGACCCTCACCTGCCTGCACAGGGGGGCCATGAGGTCTAGAGGCCCAAATGAAGACCTCACCAAATGGATCTCCCTGAGGTGTCAGGGCCACTGGCGTGGTGCCAGGGCCTGTCTGTTCTTCCTGCTAGCCAAAGACTGACTTCTCAAGCTGCTGGATGAACGGGGAACCTGGAGACGTTGAACAAGTCACGTGTATCTCTGATTGCCTTGATCTCCCCATTTTGGCCGATGGCATCTCTAAAGCATTTGATGATTCCACCATCAAGTGTGAGAGCTACAGGAGATAAAAATTTTAAATTACTAATCACCCATGATAATGCATGGTAATGCATGCTGAACAGTGAGGAGGGCAGACACCACTGGCATTCCAAAACAGGAAGCACTCAGGAGCTCTGCCAGAGCGTGGCTGCCCTCTCCACATCTGCACTGCTGCACTGCGGGTTTAGTTGATCCATCTCTTCCACACATTTGCAGAGATATGCTCAAGCATGACTTAAGTGACTTATTGCTCACGTGTTGCCTCTGTATGTCATGCTTTTCACCCAGTGAGCTCGTTGAGGACAAGGGTTGCATTTTAGGACATTTCCCCCAGTGTCTTCATAGAACCTGGCAAGACACACGGCCTTGTTGGAAATGCCAAACATCTATTATTCACCGGCAGAGCGGATGAGCCCCTGAAAGGCATGTAGTTGAGCTGCGCAGTCTGAACTCAGCAAAGTCCTCGCAGCGGGCTCCAAATTCCTGCCTCTGAAGAAGCGAGCTGAGCCTTAAAGATGGCTGAAAATGTGAACAGTCGCAGGGCCACACAGACCCACCTGAGTGGTTGCTCTCTGATGGCTCACTGAGCCATCCACCATCCCAGCAAGGAAAGGGCCTGTAAGAAGACCAGAAAAGGCCTCATTCAGTCATGCTGCTTAGTCATGGCCCAAACCTGGAGCATTTAATTCTGCTCACTGTGACTTTATTGCAATGGCACACACATTTACATCACTTTATGTGTGATAACAGTAGAGAGGTTAGTTGGGCTTTTCTGTTTTTTGTTTTTTTAAGATAATGAGAAAAGTCTCTAATATTCAGCCAAAACGTATCCTTGTGGCTGGTATAGATTTTTGGCGAAATGACATCGTACATAATCAGAAGAAGGCAAACACGCATATTATCTCCATCTCCTTATAACTGCACAAGATAACATGAAACTGCAGGAAGTATCAAGCATAAGAATAAAAGCCGTCTACTGAAGCCTGCATAGCATCCCCTGCGTGCCTCAGGAACGCCCTTCGGTGGATTAGGATGAGCACGCTGGAAAACACACACCCTGCCGCTGCATCTGGCTAATGCCAGGCCCCAGCTCCTGTTCCTGAAGCCGCAGATCACCTGAGTGTCTATGTCGTGTCTGCTGGAGTTTAGGTTAGGCAGGTGACATGGCTCCAAAGAAAGTCACCGGCTGGTTTCTGCTGCAGGGATTTGTGTCCACTTCATGCATGTTTATTGTCTGGTAACTCCATGTGAAGCCACAGCAAAGCCTACGTGATGTTGTTAGACAGGTCACAACCCAGTCAGTGGGATCAAGACAAGAGGTGGAGACAGCAGGCCTTGACACTCTGGAATCATTCTAATTTGTAACTAGGACACCTGATGAAGGGGAGGCGTGCCTAGTCTCTGGGGGGGAGTTCCTGCTGAGACCCGCCAGGTATACAGTTGGTCCTTGTCTGCAGTGACCCCAGAGACATTTATTGCAACATCTGCACATCAGCTTACGGCAGCTGTGTTCTGCCTGGCCCAGGATGGACTCTGCTCCGTCTTTGAGAGTCAGCCGCTCCAGGGCAGCAGTGGGGTTGGGAAGAGGGGAGGAGGGACCTCCATGGTGCACCAGCTCCTAGACAGCCAGCTCAAGCTACATTTCAGGCCGTCTCGGAGGCTTCTTCTGGACAATTGTGGGTTCGCTAGGTGACAGTCCAGGAACCTGGGGGCCAGGGAGTTGTGGCTTCTGAGATAAGGACTTCGTCCATTGGAGATAAACTAGAGGGTTTCTGCCTCTGCTCCCTCCAGGGGCGGCTTATGGCACAGGCTCACCAAATTGCAGGCCCCAGAGCACCTGCAATCTCAGGGAGCTCTGGGGCTTCCCAGCATGGGCAGGGGAAGCCACAGATTCGTTTCTCCTGCAGATGCAGAGACCCTGGGGTGGATGGTCTAAAGCTCAGGATCTTACAATGCGGAGAAGATGGAATAGAGCAGGAACCAGGCCCCTGTCTGGAGGAAGGAACCAATAACAACAACAACAAAACTACCGACAACGTGCGTGCTTTACAATTTTCAAAGCGCTCTCATCTCAGTCAAGGAAGGATGCATTCTCTCCACAGGCTGACGTTCAAAACCCAACCACCAGAAACATGAAGATAAAACAAAAGCAACCACCAGAAACAAACAAGACACCCGTCCATCCTCCAGGTTTGCAAATCAGACCAAGTGCTGACAATTGGTAAAAAGGAAGATGAGAAGATCCGGCCAGATAAATTCTCTGGTACCTTCACTGATCTCATTCTTTCACCATCAAAGGGGAATGCAGTAATGCCAGCAGGAGCAGGGAAAAAAAAAAAAAAAAACTAAAAAGAACAAGAGCGACTAGTCAAAGCTAGTACAGTGTTTCCCTGGTACTGAGTCATACTTTTACAATGATCCAGGCCTGTGGCCTCAACTGATGACAAATAATGAGAATCCAACAATCGTTCTTTTTCGCATACTCACTTGTGAATAAATGCAAGAACTGGTATATTTGTACATGCTGTGTGCTGTGTTTATATCTACATGATTCATTAGATTCATTAAAACCCAACTGGTAATTAGGAAAAACACTCACAAAGTTAGAAAAAAACAGCAACGTAGACAGTAAGTTGAATTTTAAATGCAGAAGCATTCTGTTGGTGCTTCCTGAGGTGGCGAAGGGTGCATGTGTGTGAGGGCGTTGGAACAGGAAGTTGCTGGGATATGGACCTGAGCCACCGGCACACACAGCCGTGCACAGGAGGCTGGTGGCTGCAGCCCGGTCTCTCACATGCCAGCCTCCTGACCCTGGCTAGTCCCTACTGCCATGCTCCCAAATCTTTCTGGTTCTGGCCCCCTCAGGCTTTCTCTGGCATCTCCGGGTCTCCTGGTGGAAAGCAGGCTTCTTTGGCTATGCACTCAGATGCTTCCCAGAACCTGACCAACGTGGCGCTGTTTCTGCTCCAGAACACCAAGGATAACCTCCCTGCAGAATCTGACTCTCCCTTGTGCTCACGTGGTCCATCTCTGCCTCAAACCAGGAGTCACCGGCTCTCTGGAGAGGAGTTAATCAGCACCCACCCTCTACCTGGCCCTCCCCCAGGCGGGGAGACAGCCATGAACATGGACAAAGTACCTGCTCCCAGGAAGCTCACAGTCTAGGGGCTAGAATCCAAGAACCAAATGAATCACCACCTAAGTCAACTAGGAAATAGTGCGTGGTGATAACTGCTCTGCAGAGAATCAGAAGAGAACAGGAAAGGCTGGACATGGTGGCTCACGCCTGTAATGCCAGAGCTTTGGAGGACCAAGGAAGGAGGATCACTTGAGGCCAGGAGTTCAAGACCAGCCTGGGCAATATAGTGAGACCCCATGTCTACAAAAAAATTTAAAAAATGAGCTCAGCACGGTGGCATGTGCTTGTAGTCCCACCTACTCAGGAGGCTGACGTAGGAGAATCGCTTAAATCCAGGAGTTCAAGGCTGCAGGAGCTATGATTGCACCACTTCACTCCAGCCTGGGCGACACAGTGAGACCCTGTCTCTAACGAATAAGGACAGGAGAGGGCACCTAGGCAGTCAGCCGAGGCCTCTCTGCAGAGGTGACCTTTAAGCTTAAGAGAAGCCAGCTCTGTGAGACCTGGGGAGTGGCATTCCAGGAGGAGGGAGCAGCTGGTCCAAGGCCGCAGGGCAGGAATGAGCCTGGCTTGTGTGAGGAGCCAGGAGGGCAGGCAAGGGCGGAGAGCAGGGAGCGAAGCAGACAAAGACAGGAGAAGGCAGGGCCAGAGCCTAGAGGACCCCACACGTGCACGGGAAGGACTTTCAGTGGCTTTTCAGAGCAGGATGGGTGACGGCTAGAGGGCTCTAAGAAGAGCTATGATGGGTTTGGTTATCAGTTTTTAGAGATCTTTTGATTGTTGTGTGGAGAAGGTGTTCTCAGCGGAGTACCGGGCAGGCAGGGAGATGGTGAGGAGGTGCATTCTTGGTCCTAGGGAGGGCGAGGGTTCCGACAGTGGGCTCTGCTGACCATCACTGCTGCAAGGGAGGCTGATCACCCGCCTCAGCAACGCCCCTGGTGTGCAGTTCACCAGGGAGCCTCAGCAATGGACCCAGGCAGTGCCTCCCCCCATGCCATGCCTGAAGGACACTTCTACCACAGAGCCTGACCGCATCCAACCGGAGGCAGAGACGCTGGACTGGAAAGACCACAGGCCCTGAATTTGGGCAGACCTGGGTTCAAGTCCTGTCTTAGCCACTTTCTAACTCGGACATTCTGGTTAAGTGGCTGAACACCCCTGAGCCTTACTTTCCTCATGTGTCAAATGTGGCAAGAATTGCCTCACAGAGTTGTGCATGAAACTTATGTTAAATCACCCACCACAGAGCCTGGTACGTAGCAGGTCATCGAAATGGTCTTCAGGAGTTGGGCACAGTGGTTCATGCCTGTAATCCCAGCACTTTGGGAGGCTAAGACAGAAAGGTCACCTGAGGCCAGGAGTTCGAGGTTATGGTGAGCTCTGATCGCACCACTGTACTCCAGCCTGGGTGACCAAGCCCGTTAGTAGTGCTGTCAGTGGCTGTAGTCATAGTAGTTGTAATAATATAATACCCACTCATTCGTCAAAGGTTTATTGAGTGCCTCTTATGTGCCAAGTTACTGTTCTAGGCACTTGGGATATATCAGTAAATAAAATGAAGTCACTGCCCTATGGAGCTTATATTCTAGGAAGGCAGACAGACAAAGGTTTTTTTTTAAATTGTTTTTGTTTTTATTTTATTTTATTGTTATTTTATTTTATTTTATGTTTTTGGAGACGGAGTCTTGTTCTGTCACTTAGGCTGGAGTGCAATGGTGCGATCTCGGCTCACTGCAACCTTTGCCTCCCAGGTTTGAGTGATTCTCCTGCCTCAGCCTCCCGAGTAGCTGGGATTACAGACATACACCACCATGCCCAGCTAATTTTTTGTATTTTTAGTAGAGACATGGTTTCACCATGTTGGCCAGGCTGATCTCGAACTCCTGACCTCAGGTGATCTGCCCTCCTCAGTCTCCCAAAATTCTAGGATTACAGGCGTGAGCCACCGCACCCAGCCAAAAGTTTATTAGATTTTTAAAAATTAAACGAGTTTGTTAGAAGGTGACAAGCGCTTTTTAAATGAAACAGAGGAGAGTAGGTGGAGAGAGGTGGGGTGTGGAAGGGCACAGCTCAAGCCCTGTGAAGGGTGGGCTTCTTGGTAAAGATGACAGCTGAGCAGAGACTTCTGGAGACGAGGGAGTGAGCCGCGTGGATCTCCGGGGATGAGAATCGTAGGCACAAGGATCTGCCAAGCAGGACAGCTCTGGGGTGTCTGAGCCAGCGGGGGCGGGGCACTTGGCTGGAGGGGAGAGTGAGTGGGTAATGAGTGGCAGTGGATGACATGGAAATGGAGAGTGACCAGGTCCGGGTTGCCCAGGGGAGGACTCATAGGCCATGGGGAGGACTGCAGCTTTCACACTAAGCAATGGGAGCCCCTGGAAGGTTGTGAACCAGGACAATATCCACTTCAGGATTCAGAGAGATCATTCCAGCTGCTGGATCGAGGCAAGGCTGTGGGGCACTGGCGGAAGACCAGTGGTTCAGGGGAGGGGTGAGGGCGGCTCAGGGCAGGGGGCCAGTCGTGGGCAGTGGTCACAGAATCAACAAAACAGCTTCATTCTGCTTACCCCACATTATCTTCAAGGATGGGCCCCGCCAATCCTGGCACACCCCTCAGTCGCATCTGTCTTTAAATGGCCACCTGCTGGCTTGCCAGACCTCCCAAAAAAGAAACGTCTTACCAGAAGCTTCCCTGGCCTTGCTCCAGACTGGGCCACATGGTGACTTCTAGGCCTCCTGGCTCTCAGTTCTTCCCACTCCTGGTCTCACCTGCGCCTGCCCACCCCTCTCTATGTGTAGACCACTCAGCTGCTCCCTGGCTTGTGACCTTTGGTTCCATCTCCTGGCTCTTCCTTTCATCTCCCTCAGCATAGAGGCTCCAGGGACCCTCCCGCGTGGCCTGCCCTGTTGTCTCTGATGCTGGGCACTGGGAGTTGAGTGGCGGTAGATAGTATGCCCAAGCCTCCACACTGGTGGGCAGCTCTGCTGACCAAAGACAGCAGGCTGGGTCCAGAGGTGAGACTCGGAAGAAGGGGAGGCAATAGAGGAGCCAGGCTCTTTCTGCACGGACTTCTGGGGGATGAGAGACTAGAAAGACTGTTTGAATAATAATAACAAGAAATACTATCACTCACTGGGCAGCCACCGTAGCTATGCTAGGCACTGGGCAGGTACTTTGCATCCCTTAATCTCACTATTGTAAGATGTGGGGATTGTGCCCATGTTACGAATGAGGACAGCGAGCTCAGACAGCTCTAGAGATACGTCAAGATCACACAGCTAGCGGCACTCAGAGAGAGTCCCTCCCAGCCCTGCTTCTGCAAAGCCCGAGTCCTCCCCCTTCGAGCAGCTCCATCACGGTTGCCCGTGCAGCTTGGGCGTGTGGGAATACGTCAGAGGCATTTTGCTCCCCTTTCCAAAAGCAAAGCAAGAGAAAGAAGCTTGTTGCGGGCCTGGCCTGTGTGTTCATCCATGTTGCTGCAATCTTTTCTTGTTTTTAAATTCCCCTCTGCCTTCCATACCAAGGCCCAAAGCAATGGATGACTGAACAGGCAAGCTTCTTGTTTCTGTGTTCGTGTGTTAATGGACTTTGCGACTTTTTCGAGCAGATCTGTCTTGTCTGTTTCCCTCAGATTCTCAGCTCCTCAGGGGAAGAACTGAACCGTACGTGTCTTATTTCTGGCTCCACAGCTCTGAGCTCTGAGCTCTGTACCCAGGGAGCACTCGATGGATGGTATCGACTGGCTGACTCAGGGCCCGTCTGCCCACATGAGCCATTTTGAGCAGCTTTGACTAAAATGCGGACAGAATCAGTGAGAGCCAAATAAGCAGTCTGGTCGATTCTCTTCCCTCCCACCCTATTCCGAATGCCTCCTGGAAACTGCTGGTCCTCCTCGCCCACGGTTCTCTCCTTCACCGGGGGCCCAGAGGCTGCAAAGCACCCATCTCCTCTCCCGTACCGTTTGCATCCTCAGAGCAACGCCGCACCGTGAACTTGTTAGAGGAATCCTGATTCACCCAAGGCAGTCTCAGATTTGGAACTGTCATTTTTCCATTCCTGCCATCTTCACCCGACAAATAGTACTGAACACCTGCTCTGTGCCAGGTAGAAAGTGTAAATGCAACCTGGTTTTCTAAGTCTCTGTCATCCTGAGAAACAATAGGAGAGAAAGGTGATTCTTGAAACTTAAAACAAACAAACAAAGGGAATCTGTGGTTACTCAGGAATTTACTTACTCTATATACTGAACAAAGTATAGCCTTTATTGGTAAAATTAATTGGACACAAAACAGGCCAGGGCATGCTTACTAGTTGGATCTTCCAAATTCAGAAACCCTACATTTTAGGAATCTATATTTCAAAGGAAAGAG